TGGTACGAGAACATAATAGAGCATAACACGCAACCCGACCTATCCGCCTGGATCGCTCACCGTTCGCCGAACACAGACAACAAACCAAGAATTTCAGAAGCGAACCAGAAGCGCCACCATCAGGGACCACGTGACCCGCCAGCAGGCGGCCGGGCCGCCACAGAGCTCGCCCGTCCCTACGCGACCCTCGCCACGTCTCGGACGCCGCCTGTCGTCCCTAATCTCAGCCAGGCTCCGACGTCGGGCACGCCGCCGTCGCAGCGTGGGCGTCCACGTCCACCTGTCTCGGCACGTACACAAACACGCCTTGTGCGCTAGCGGTAAGTCCAATAAATGCCAGTAAGCTGCTGATGCGCCTGTGAGTTGCATGGATAAAAATCACAACGCGGAAGGCAGCGCCGGCCGGCAGCGGCGCTGAGTATTGGGAGGCGCGCGTGCGGCGCCACACCGCCGCCCGAGACGGCGCCGGGGGGAGGCGGCGGCGCCAACGGCACAGGCCGCCGCAGCCGCCGCGCTGACCGACACCGCGCGTTTGAGCTGGGGCTCGACCGGCGCGGCCCGGCGGCGTCACACGTTGATGACGTCATCCAGCGAGTACGCCTGGTCGAGGATCAGGTTTGGCACGGGCGACGGCGACACGCCGTCAGCGATGCTCGGCTCGCTCGGCGGCGGCCCGTCAACTGAGCTCTCCAGCAGACTCTGTAACGGCCGGGCGGCGAGGAGTCAGCGCCGGGCCCGGCGGTGGCGGGGGCACGCGCCGCGGCCGGTAGCGTAGCCTCGTGCGGCGCTCCTCACAGAGGTCATCGCCACACGAAAACACAGCCCGGTGGTCGCAGATGGACAACCTCCACCATTCTTACCTCGAGTTCTGCCGACGTTAACCGTTTGGGTTGGCGTTGGGCGCTGGGCGCACCGCTCCCATCTAACGGCCGAGGCACAAAGCGTTAGTCCCGGATCGGTCCGCCCACAAGCTTCGTCTTCATGCGTTAGGTTCGGTGCTATCGGGCAGCTACATACAACGGCCGACAGGGGACCAACAAATAAGCGGATAGATACATCAACGCAAACAAACAAAACAAGGACTGACCACGACCCTGCACGGATGTATGCTTACCGGCAGTGCAGCATCCGCACCTTCATCCCCGCGAAATGTGTCCTACCCACTGTAAAGCGCAACACATCCCAAAAATACAGCAAATAAAAGTTTGATGCAAGCAAACCAAACAAAAAGTAGCGGTTCTGCGCACTATTTAACAAATCGGCAAACTTCGAAAAACACTAACAATCGGAGGAGCTGTAAACGTACATAAATGTACTTGATTTAGAATACTTGGGTCAGCTGTGGCACAGCCCAGTTCAAAATTGTCTGCACTTTGAAATACGTCCATTTCCGGTCGACTTTTTCGTCGGTTTGTTCGAGGCATCATGACTTGGACGTTTCGAGAACGGTGGCCAGTCCACACGACTCCGGGTCATCAAAGTATAAAGTACAGGGCAAAGTGCATCAAATTCCTTCCGCAACCAGAATGTGCGCGGCAATGGCACTATATACAATACCTATACACCAAGGCATTCGTCTATGTTCAATTCCCCAAACCACGCCGGTGCCATGTACACACTGTGCGGTGAGGATGTGCCGGTGCTCGTCCGGACACGGACTGCGTGCCGTCGCGTGCGCACGTCACGCCGCCTTGCCTGTTGGCGAGTCGCTAGCGCGGCTCGAGCTGTTAGCTGCGGCGCCGTCTGCCATCTGCCGTCCGGTCCACGAGTCAGAGCTTGGACCGACGTCCGCCGGCGGCGTCTCGTCTCCCGACGTGTTGCCGCCACCTGGTCAAACCCACAACCGCCACGTCACACCGGCGCACTGCCGGAGCTCCGCGTGGGCCAATGCACAAGAACGCAATTCACACTGAGCTCCCCACAGCTCAAGCAAAGCAGCTGCTTATATTCAGGTTATAAGAAAGCAAGTCGATATGAGAGCTGTTACCGTGGTTATGTGGTGCGACAACTGCACGACCTGCGGGCACATCATCAAGACACAAGTTCGGCGTCTGCTGAAATCTGCTGTGACCGAAATCTCCAACTGACATAAGCAGTCCTAAAGATGGCCCCTTGTGACTATCAATGCCAGCGGTACACTAATAGAATGCCTGACGCCGCGCGCTACCGACATACCACAAACGTAAACAGGGAACAAAGTCATGCTCACAAATCCCACTATCCAGTACAAACCCGCTCTGTAACCAGAGAAACCAACCAGGAGTCGGGCAGTCGCTCACAGAATTTTCGGCAAACCAAAAACAACACAGACGGCTGGCTGAGGCGGCCTTCAAGCGCGGCACCGCGCTTACGTCCGCGGTCGCTTCCCTTCAAACCCCGTGGCCATCTGAGACCCGCGCTGCAGGTCAGACGGACTTCCTTCCGTGACGGTGGACAAGCAGCCAGAGACAACAGCGAGTCAGCTCCCAACGCATGCTCCGTGGTGTCAACACGCCAGCCAGCACTGGCGCGTTGACAGCACAATGCCAGCACAACACGCAACGCGTTACGCATTAGTATAAGGACTCGTGCAACCGCCAGCGGGTGGCGTCCCATTCGAGGTGCAACAGGGCAGATATACCCCTCCTTTTCGAGATACTTTACCCAATTGCGCAATTTGAAACTAGGGTAACCCTGCATAATAGCTTTACCCTTTCTTCCATTTTCTGAACCCGAGCACCCGGCCTGGCACCGGGCGGATCTCGAGCCTGGTGCTGGCAGCGCCAGTGGGCCGCACCGCGCCGTCCGCGGCGCTCGCCACCCGACCACGCCTGCCGCCGGAGCCACTCACCGGAGCAGCGGGTCTCAGTGCGGCCGGCCATGGACTTGGGCCGCGGCTTCGGCCCTAGCGGCGGCGGCTTGGCCAGGCCCGGCACGGGGGACGCCTGCTTAGGCTTACTGGCCAGGCTGGGTTTGGGACCTAGAACAGGCGCGCGGCGCGGTCACAGGCGCGGCTGGTGCCCGGCCAGCCCCCTCACACACACGCGCGCACACACGCGGGAGACGAAGCGCACGGCGCGGCCAGCGGGCGACGCGGCGGCCGGCCGGCGGCCAGGCCTCGCACCGGGGACACGGGAGCCGCCGGCCCACACGGCCGGCGGCGAGGCGAGGCGAAAGCGAAGCATGCTCGGGCGCCGAGCTGTAGTCACCGGGCGCTGGGCGTTAGGCGGCGTCACAGAGCCGGACCGCGCAGCCGGCACTCACTGATCGACGGCGGCCCGTGGTGGCCGGCCGACGGCGACTTGAGCGCGGCGGCCAGGGCGGCGCTGCGACCCTTCACCTCCTGCAGCGGCGAGCGCTCCTCCAGCTCCTCGGGCGTCTGCGGCGGCGAACGGCCGTCAGTCGTCCCGCACGGCACAGCGGTAACAGTCGTCACTGAGGGCGGCGCCTGCCACTCCTACTCGCCACCACGCGCAGCTCTTGGCCATGCTCGACGCCAAACTTATTAAACCCGACTTCGGCGGCGCGCGTGTGATATGCATGCACGTGCCATAATACAACCGGACCGTTTATCAGGATCCCCTTTCCCAAGCCTTGAGCGCCCCCCCCCCTCCCCCCCCTCCCTTCCCCCGCTCACGTGTTTGGGCGTCAGACTGGCGCGCTTCTCCTGTTTGGCGCGCATTTCCGCCAGCAGGTCGGTGCCGGCGAGGCCGGCCGGGCGGCGCAGTGCCGGCTCGGCGCCCTCCTCAGCCGGCGGCACCACCGGAGGCGACAGCAGGTGGTTCAGAAAGCTGTCCGCACTCCCTGCGTCGCGCAGACGGGCGCCGGTCAGCACAGCCGGCCCCGCACAGAGCGGCTTCCGTCTCGACGCCAACCAGAGAATACAGAGCCACTCACATCAGTGAACCGCCGCGCGTCGCGGCAGAACGGCCACAGCACCAGCCGCCCGACTATTCAAAGCGGGTATCGTTACACCATGCTGCCGGGAGCGGCCGAGCAGGCGAGAGCGAGGAGTGGATCGGCCCCGGGGGGACGCCACCGGCAGCGGCCGTACGACACCACCATGCGAACTGTCGTCCAGTCACTCGAGCAGCTCCGATGAAAACGAGCGCGACGGGCGATGTCCAGCCGTGCGTACCACAAGCGATGTCTATGCCGCCGCCAATCAGCACGGTGATTTTCGTTGCACAATTGTGACCAGCCAGCCCAGCTGTTCGGTAACTGACACCGGAAGCACCTAAACGGGGCGACCTTTGACGCGACAGCGACGTCCACACGGCCAGAGTGGCCGACGACAGCCTCTCACCGGAGCCGGCCGACGAGTCGCTGTCGGCCGTGTCGGCCGGCTTCCTGAGCTTGGCCGGCTCGCCGCCGTCGCGGTCCTCCCGGCTGCGGGCCACACGATCCGCCGCCAGCTTGCTGAACACTGACGAGATGCCCTTCTTGACACCGCTGCTGCTGAGGACAGGCCGACACCACCGGTCAGTCAGACACTGCTCGTCTGTGGAATCACGGCAAGGACGGTGGCCAACCGCTCCCAAAACTAGGCCAACATGCGTATAGAACCAAACATTTGACCGCTGCGCCGTGAAAAAGCTAGAGCTTTTGAGACAATCCAAGTCCCGCTATAACATAAGCTAAATCAGCAACGCTGTTCAAACATGGGCAGCGAAACTGCGGCAGGGCGCCCCCGAGACGGTAGAACGAAACGGGCCCATTCCGGCCTAAGTAACGAGCCCGGTATGTTCCAAGTGAGACAGAGTGGCGGCCATGGCGTCACCTCTTCTTCTCGCGGTGGGCGTCGTCATCGCGGTGGGCGGGCGTGCGCCGCGCGCGCTCCAGGCCCAGGTGGGGTGTGTTGTCGGCAGACGTGGTCATCAGCTGTCTGTGGTCAGGTCGCCGGCGGCGCACGTCAGACAACCTGAGCCGCACACAGGAGACAGAGAGAGAGAGGGTCTCGAGACAGAGACAGAGACAGAGACAGAGACAGAGACAGAGACAGAGACAGAGACAGAGACAGAGACAGAGACAGAGACAGAGACAGAGAGACAGAGACAGAGACAGAGACAGAGACAGAGACAGAGACAGAGACAGAGACCAGAGACAGAGACAGAGACAGAGACAGAGACAGAGACAGAGACAGAGACAGAGACAGAGACAGAGACAGAGACAGAGACAGAGACAGAGACAGAGACAGATAACAGAGACAGAGACAGAGACAGAGACAGAGACAGAGAACAGAGAGAGAGAGAGAGAGAGAGAGGAGAGAGAGAGAGAGAGAGAGAGAGAGAGAGAGAGAGAGAGAGAGAGAGAGAAGAGAGAGAGAGAGAGAGAGAGAGAGAGAGAGAGAGAGAGAGAGAGAGCACCAGCAGATCAGGCAGATAGCGTGTGCAGCCCGACACACAAGCACCGCAAACACTATGCGCTGACCGCAAAGCTAAAACATAACAGCGAACGAACACGGGTTTATTTTGCTGCCTCTGGCATTTTGCTCCACTCCACTCCCCGGACCCGTCCGCCGGCCGTCACGCACCGCACCCCGACTGCCAACGATCACACACCAGGAGCCGGGGTGGGGAGCGCCACCAGCGGCGACACGGACTCCAGGCCGTTACTGACCGGGACTCGGAGTCCGGCGAGGTGAGCGGGCTGCTGGGCAGCGAGCGCGCCGGCGGGAAGAACACGTCCAGGCCGGTGTCGACGTCAGGCGCCCTTCCTCGCCGACCACGGGCCGCGTGGGCGCGCGGCTCTTGGCGCGCCGCGGACGCGCTTGCCCAGATGGCGCAGCTGGTACGCCGAGGCCGGCAGCTCGGCCACCGTGTCGACCTCTGGCGGCGCGGCGCGCACGCACCGGTCAGATCCAGCGGCTCACAGAGCCCTGTTGCAGCCAACGCTCGGACGCAATGGGCATGAAGGTGCGCGCCGGCACGCTTTCGAAACGAGCGCAAACGTAGCAAACGCCTGAGACATGGGCGCGTCCCAAGAATGAGCTTGGCATGGTGTTTCTACTGAGTTTGTGATTGCCGCTTGGGTTGATGGAAGCATGGGCTTAAATCTGACTAACAGGATGTGCGAAACCAGTCCCAGTGTGCGGTACAATCAGTTGATGGTACTTGCATTAACTTTTTTTGCTGCCGTCATACAATATCTATCAATGAAAAACTTCGTAAAAGGGTCTTGTGACAACTGACCTCCAAGAATCTTCATTCAGATTTGGCGGAAAGTAACTAATCCAATTTTCACAGCCTTCGAATAAAAATCAGTGCCAATCGCAATCAATGTCAATTGCGCTGCAAAGCTTTGAACACAAAAACAATGAATTCACATGAAATAACCAAAACATACAGACTAGTCATTCGCTTCCACGGTCTAGCTCAACAAGTCAAAGCTAAAAAAAAAAAACGTTCAATATAACGAGCCAAGACCGTATAACTGCGTACAACGAGGCTAAAAACGCTAACAGCCGACACGTGATGCTCATTGATTTGTTTGCAGCTGGCGCACCAGGCGCGTGCAGTGTCTTGGACGCATCTCTTGCTGTGAATGGCCATTAAGCGCGGGTCACACACGGGGACGACTGGGAACAACCTTCACAACAGCCAAACCAATATTAACAGGCTGCAGAATGCACACATGCATGCGCAGGTGAAGGCATGGTGCAAAAATAGGCAACACAAACTGAAACAGACCTTGCTTTTCTGTGAACATTCCTCGACACCAGGCGTAACATGTGATTCACCGCATCAACTTGCACAGATTTCCCTGCCCGTTTCGCCATGTTTCGTTTCCTGAAGATGTGTCTGCCTTCACGCGCTCAGCATCTTCATCAGGCGCAGAGACCCCGCCACCTGGTTGGAGTAGCGACTCTTTTTCCTCTAACCAGCACACCTCCTTCAGAGGAGCACCGACTTCAAGTCCGTACGCTGCCTCGCTAAATTTCCCACCCGTGCCTTATAAGTCAACCTACCTTCCCAAACGGGGAATGGCTCCCGATCAGTCGGCCTCTCTCTCTCTCTCTCTCAGCCGGCTCAGGAGCCGCGCAGAGTCCTGGCTTGAGTGTCGACTGGTCGACAAAGTCGGCCCACATTCCTCGATGGAGTCACGAGTCGGCCTATACTCCCGGTTTGAGTGTCGAGTCAGCCTACCTTCCTCAGTTGAGTTCAGGCCTCAGGCCCTCCACCGCCGCTGGTGTCCAGAGCTGGTCTATATTCCGCGCCCGAGTCCCCTGTCGGCATTCCTCCGCCAGTGGTGTCCGGAGCTGGCCTATATTCCCCGCCCGAGTCCCCAGTCGGCCTTCCTCCGCCAGTGGTGTCCGGAGCTGGCCTATATTCCCCGCCCGAGTCCCCAGTCGGCCTCCCTCCGCCAGTGGTGTCCGGAGCTGGTCTATATTCCCCGCCCGAGTCCCCAGTTGGCCTTCCTCCGCCAGTGGTGTCCGGAGCTGGTCTATATTCCCCGCCCGAGTCCCCAGTCGGCCTCCCTCCGCCAGTGGTGTCCGGAGCTGGCCTATATACTCCCCAGCCGAGTTCCCAGCTGGTTTTCCTCCGCCAGTGGTGTCCGGAATTGACCTGTATTCCCCGCCCGAGTCCCCAGTCGGCCTTCCTCGGCCAGTGGTGTCCGGAGCTGGCCTATATACTCCCCACCCGAGTTCCCAGCCGGTTTTCCTCCGCCAGTGTTGTCCGGAGTTGACCTGTATTCCCCGTCCGAGTCCCCAGTCAGCCTTCCTCGGCCAGTGGTGTCCGGAGCTGGCCTACCTTCCTCGGTGGAGTCCAGACTGGGCAGCAGGTCGGGGATGCGCTCGGCAGAGACGCCCTCCACGGAGTCTGCGCCGCACACAGAGTACACTCAGCGGCCGCGTCACGCGCCGCGCCGCGCCGCGCCGACCAGGCCGGCCGGCGTGCCACGCCAGGCGGCGCGCGCCACCAGCACACGTGCAAACAAAACACGCCTGCCGGCCAGCCCCACACAAAGAAAACCAAACACGACACGTCACTGCAGGTCGGCATGCTGAACCGGAGCATGCAGTAGAAGGGAAGGGGTCCAGAGGCAAGCTCTGGCCAGCGCGGCCAGGTGGCGCTTACTGTACACATCCAGGTTGCAACGGATTGGAAGACCTGGGGAGGAGTCCACGTGCCACTTACTGACGGAGCACGGACACGACGCGTAGTGACAGTGCAGGACAGTGCATTGCAATCGCCACATTAATCAGCGTTGTTTTAAGGACATCTTGTGAGCTGGCTCCCACAGAGCCACAACCTATCGCTGGCGCTCATCTTCACAACCGCGGACATCGCTGCACAGCATGCTGGCATAGGCGGCGAATGTCGTGGGTCAGCCGTTGTTATAGCATTATCATAATCTTCTCGCAACAAATCAGTTCAAGTAACTTTTAAAGTCTATAATCCAGTAACGATGCGGAGAAGCATTATTGCATGGCCTCAATCTCACGATAACCAGCCCAAGTGTCTTCTAAAGTATATAATCCAGGAACGAGACAGAGAAGCGGCAGGCGAATGACACGTACCGACAACAGACTTGGGGCGCATCTTCCGGCCCTGAAGGTTTAGCTTCTTGGCATGTAGCTGGGGAGTCGCCTGGAATGTGGTCAGTATTGCGTCAGCACAAGCCGGTAAGTCAACACAGGAAAGGTGTCGCCACTACGATTACATTTCAGATGGTTTCACTTGAAAGCTAAGTGGCTACCCCGGCCATTCTCAATCTGGATGTTATGCTGCAAAGTGCCCGTCCACTGTCGTAAGCCGTCCATGTGACGCAATGAGTGCAGGTATCGCAAGAACTTATAAGCTAGTCCTAAAAATGATACCCTGCTACGTTAAAAAATCAAGCAGGCAAGTGAGCTGTGCATAAAAAGAGCAGGTGCGGCCGCCACATGATCTCACCAAATTCAAGTACTCCAGCTTCTGAGCAGCACGCAACAGGAACATTGCGTCAACGCAAGGCTCTCATAGATCATGCGCACGATCAGCCATCACACGCCACCATCAGGCATCATTAGACATCGTCGCTCACGGTCAAGTATCACCTTCTCACAGCGCCAGTTCGCACTTAAACAACCGACGCTGAAACATCTACAGCAAAGCCAACTCAGCGCAACAGCTTTTCACCGAGAGCAACCCCAAGCCAGGACCGAGGCTGTCAGCCCCTAGCTCCCACCCCCCCCCCCCCCCCCGACTATTTGGAATGGCGCGGTCTGCATTCCTGGCAGAGCACGCCTGACCCGTTCTTGGCTGGCGGCGCCTCGGTACAACACGAAGGGCCGCGCCAACATTTCGCGTGGGATGCCGCGATGAGGCGGCCGCGGGTGCCGCCGGCATGGCGCGGACAAGGAGTGGACTTCCTGACAGGCGTCTGAGTAGCGACAAAAAGCTAATGAAATTCGAGGATAATTTTATGACGATTTGAACGATAATTTTATTCAATTACGCACAATTTTAGCAATCGCTTCACCTGGTGATTTGTCTACTCATGGCAGCCATTTTCACCTTATACCAACCATTATCCTCCTACCGTCCTACCATTCCTATAGCTTGTATTTTGCTGCATTACAACTTTTCAGCGCGATTAAAGCGCATCGCCGCTGCAAGAGTAAGGCGAGGATGGGATATAACAGTGACTGCCCGGATGACCTCCGCAAACGTACCCTAGTACCACGCCGTTATGACCGTGCGCGCACATGAGACAAAACTGCCGCCCAGAGACAGCGTTTGGCCGGCTCGGGTTAGGGCCGGCCATGGTGAGCTCGTGATTCGCAGTCAGCTCACGTTAGGCCAGCTCCCGGCTGACGGTCCCAGCGCGCGCACATGCTGGCCACATGTTGCGAGCAAGCGGGATGAAGCGGTGTATGTGGATAAGGGCGGGCACATCACTACTACATCAGGCCACGGCCATACCGGTTGGCTAATTCCCCAAACGTCGCTGGGTCTTATAGGTCTCAACGCATCCATCCACAACCATCCACCTTTCGTCAAACTGAGGCTAACGAGGGCTACACATCTCCACTACCTAAGCCCGGCCGCGCTGCCCACACGGCCGGCGGCGGGCGCGCACTGACCGGCGGCGACGGGTCCGAGCGCTCGCTGCCCACGTCCTCCTTGGAGTGGCTGCTGTCGGCGCCGCCGGCTTCGGCGCCATCCGGCGGGCGCGGGTGCGACTTCAGCACGTCCGGCGTGCAGGCGCGCTTGCGGCCCGCATCTCCCGTCTGCGGACACGGGGACAGACGCGACCGTCGCAGCGCTTCGCTCAGCCGCACGACCACGCCACGCCCACGACACCCGCCGCAGACTATACCGATAACACGGCGGGTTCATCCCAGGCACACGTGACAGACGATGCCGGAGGGAGGTGAACGGGGCTGTTCGTAATGCCCGGACCTCACGACCCTTCGACAGCCCCCACAGAAGCTCAGCCAAACACTCACCGCCACCCACTAACCCTCGAACCCATTCTAAAAACAGACCACAGCCTTTGTGACAAGGCCCGCAGCCAATCCCAGCGCCCGACTGACCGCCTCCTGCCGCGCCGCCGCCCGCTCACCAGTTCCTGGTAGCTCCTGGTGAGGCTCTCGATGACCTCATCGACGACGCGGTCGCTGACCTGCGCCGCCACGGCCACGTGCAGCTCGTTGACGCGCTCGGCCAGCTCGGAGCCGGCGCGCTGCTGCAGCGCCGAGCGCACCTGGTCGGCCGGCAGCGCCAGCCGCACGCGCTCGGCGCTGGCCGAGCGGATAGCCTGCTGCACGGCCGACAGCAGCACGTGCGGACACTCGGCCTCGGCCGCCTCCAGCATCCGGTCCACGGTCGCCTGGCGAGACGGGCGGGTGGCGCTCCGTCAACGTCCGGTGGGTTCCGGGCGGGCCTTAGTCCTGATACACAGCTACAAAGGCCCCACCCAAACACCCCCACCCCACCCCAGTGCGGCTGACCCACCCCTATGTGTTGGGAAATGACCGAGTGCAGCTGACCCATCTCTATGTGTTGGGCGACGACCGATGCAGCTGACCCATCTTTATTTGTTGGGCAATGACCACGTGCGGCCGACCCACCTTTATTTGTTGGGTAATGACCACGTGCGGCCGACCCACCTTTATTTGTTGGACAATGACCACGTGCAGCCGACCCACCTCTATGTGTTGGGCAGTGGCCGAGTGCGGCCGACCCACCTCTATGTGTTGGGCAATGGCCGAGTGCGGCTCACCCACCTCTGTGTGTTGGGCGATGGCCGAGTACGGCTGACCCACCTCTAGGTGCTGGACAGTGACCGAGTGCAGCCGACCCACCTCTATGTGCTGGGCGATGACCGAGTGCAGCTGCTCGGCCACCTGGCTCAGCTTCAGCTCCACCGGATTGCCGGACGCCTCCCGCTCCATCACGACCGTGTGGAACCGAGCCATGAGCTGGGGGCAGACAGGCCGGGTCACCGGCTGGGGACGGACAAACCGGGTCAGCAGGTGGGGCATAATCACGACCGTGTGGAACCGAGCCATGAGCTGGGGGCAGACAGGCCAGGTCACCGGCTGGGGACGGACAGGCCGGGCCAGCAGCTGGGGCCGCACAAACGGCCGTCAACGCGCAGACAGCTTCAGATGCCGGGGGGAGGGGGCGGGGGATCAGACGCCGACGGACACACGTCAAGTGCATCAATGCTCGCTGACATCCTGTATTAAGATAAACTGAAATCGGTGCAGCAGACGGAAACACGGATGATGAGCGTAGTCTAAATCATAGCACGCATTGGAGGTTTGGTAGAAAACTATGGCTCAACCTACCCCCCCCCCCCCCTCCCACACACACAAACGCAAAAAACGCCAAAAAGAAGCTTCTCTCCAATTAGACCCACTTCCTTCTCAAAGTTGGCGGACCGGAGCCCCCTAAGCCCCCCCCCCCCCCAACAAACCCCCAACAGGAAAGAGAACAATCCCTGTGCGGCAGCCCCTATCGCAGAGGTGGCCCACAACGGGTAGATAAACGCATGAGAGTCTGGGAGCTGTTCAGTACCACTAATCAGCTAATCGCTGAACGATCATGTGTCGCTCGAGAGCAGAGCCACACACAAATGCATAATCTGTACGGAGAGAGTCACACGCCACAACGCGCTTCGAGACAGCCAACGTAAGACATCGATGGTCCACGTACGAACAATCACATCAAGGCAACTGAGCACATCTGGCGCGAGACGTCGTGGCGCATATTGTCCGACACGAAGACAAAACCATCCGTAATCTCGTCTGAGTAAAGAGGTTGGAGGTAAACATGTGTGATTAACTGTAACGACAATGCTTGAACAATGGTCTCGCTGCAAGCCAAGGCAGCTCTGCCTAGAAAATACTCTCATCACAGGGACACCCGTACCGCATAAATCTCAATGTCATCGCCAGAGATGCGCCAGATGATAGGAGTGCACATACAACTCGTCCATCCAACACATACCTTCTCGCAGAACGCGTGTCCACAATGCAGCTTTGGCAAGCGACGCCTCAGCTTCCTCTTTTTCACCTTGCCGTCCTCGCCGCGCTCCACATCCCGGTGATGCCTCCTGACCTTCTTTCCCACCAGATCGTCACCTTCCGTTCGGCTCTTCTTCAGCTGCGACATGAGCTCGCCCATGCACGTCTTGTAGCCAGCGGGCAGTGCGGCGAGCAGCTTCTTCTGGATCGCCAGCGGAGCCTTGCTCTTTTTGGTCGATTCGGCGTCACCCGCCTCCGCTTCACCGGCCGCCTGGCACTCGCTAACTTTCACTACCGGACACTTGTCCGTGATCCGCTTCCGAGCGCCACCGCCAGCGGCACCCTCTTTCTTAGCTTCGTCGTGCCTGGACCCGTACCGAGGCGGCCTACCACTGACTTCAGCTTGTTTTGATGGGATCCTCGAATCGCGGCGTTTCTTGGCGTCACCGCCCTCCACCGCGCTTTCATCTCGCTCACTGTCCGGTCTTCTATCCTCGTCACTCTCCGAAGGCGCATCACTGCCGGGTTTGCCGTCGTCACTGTCGGCCTTGTCGTCCTTATCACATTCGTGTCTGACCTCATCACTGTCGGCGTTCGAACCCTCTCCGCTATGCACCTTCTGATCCTTCCCTTTGTCCACCTCCGTATCCTCACCGTCGGTCGAAGAGTCGGGGCTTTCCTTCACGTCGCCGCCACCGGACGAGTCAGCCGCCTTCTCGGTCCCACTCGCGGCGGACTCGCACCGGTCCGAGTCGTCCTCGGAGTCAGACGACGGCATGACTCGTTGCCGACTCGTTGTCCCGTGCACTGTCTCGCGGGCGGCGGTGGGTCAGAGGGACACGCAGAGCCGACTGCCTCGCAGGCGGCGGTCGGTCAGAGGGCCGCACGGAGCTAACTGCCCGGCAGGCGGCGGTGGGTCAGAGAGCCGCGCGGAGCCGGCTGCCTCGCGGGCGGCGGTGGGTCAGAGGGCCGCGCGGAGCCGGCTGCCTCGCACGCGGCGGGCGGTCAGAGGACCGCACGGAGCTAACTGCCCGGCAGGCGGCGGTGGGTCAGAGGGCCGCACCGAGCCGACTGCCCGGCGGGCGGCCGGCCGCTGGGCCCAGGCCAGCGTTAAATATAGCCGCCGTCATCACGGCACGGCGGCCGGCACTGCTTATGGCGAGCCCGCGGGGCGCCTCCCACTGGCGGTGACGGAGCGGGCGGCCCAGCCGATCCCGCCCGCGTGCGGCGGCGGCGGCGACCGCCACCGGCTCCGGCGCCCACTGAAGCCGGCGATGAGGCTGGCCCGTGACGGCAGCATGATGTATGACGTCGACCGGCTGCCCCGCCCGCGACGTGACAGCCCCGGCGCGCAGCCGCCAAGGCAGCCATCAATCAGCCGTAACGTACATCAACAAACGGACGCACAGCTCTGATGTGCCACCGCTTCTTTTGATGCGCTTCTCTCGCGCGCCGGGCCGGAGCGAATGCGCTATTCGCGCACAAAAGTCACGCACGAGGGCCCGATATCACTTAACCCACGCTCCACAGAATAGTGCGGTCGCCAGGCCTCCTCGGCGACATGTAGGGACCACGGCTTGGAAGCCGCTCGTCGCCGCCGATCAGCGGCAGGTGCCGGTGGTCGAGATCATCAGCGGCCTGGCTCGGCTCGGCCTGGCGCGGGGGCGGGGCGGGAGGAGGGGAGGGGCGCTGGGCCCGCGCCACGGCGTCACACGGGTAAACACAGCTGGCGCGCTGGCGTCACGCAGACAGCCCCCCCCCCCCCCTTCGGCGGTCTGCGTCAGGTGCGGTGACGCGCCCCTCGGAGCCACTTCCCAATCCGCAGGTGCGCTCCCGGGCAAATGTGAGGCTTTGCCGGGCGCCACGTCCACGGACGGTGTCGGGCCTGGTCTGGGCGAAATCTGCGCCGTGGGGCTCGGCAAGCGGCCCCACTCCCTTGTTCTGGTGCGGGCTAGGGAATGCATCCTGCCCTGACAGTGACCACAGGCCCGGTAAAACTGGTTCACACGTGCAGGTGTGTTATTTCTCACCACAAAATCCCTGTGGCCTGACAGGGACATGATCAAAGCAGGATAAAACTTGGAGTACATAAAATGAAATCGATAGTTTAGAGAGACCCGATACCAGTACCATTTATAACCATACGTTTGGGAAAGCATTCACCTTGCTTAAAACGGAGCCGTTTTCTGGGTGTGAACAGCAGGTCTCCTTGGGGCAATTAATGGGTCCTACGATCGATTGGCTGCGATGCATATGAACAGTTGCAACAATTCATTAATGACGGATAATTTGTCACTCAGTGAATGTGACGCAAGCCCATGAATTTTCTAAAAATAATGTTCTACCTAGTAAAAATCCCTGCGCTTCGCAATGGTCTAAAGGTTTTCCAATGGTCTTTTGATAGGCTCTGGTCGATGGTTTCAAAGCTGATTTACTGGCAACCGGCCTCAACGTTGGTGGTCAAGGTCACAAGTCAACAACAAACCTCGTGACACGAGTGAATGATTGATCAAACGACCTTGCGATGCTTCCTAAAACACCGAATATTCTTGCTATACTTCCCGGACGGTCCGTCGTTCAGAATCTACTCAGTCGATGCATTCATCTTCCGGCCACATGCACGCGGTCGTTATGCCATGATAGTAATAGTGCGCGTCCGCGCCGGGCGCACATGGCACACACCAGATCATAGCGACGCCCGTAAATCAAAACAAGTATAACCAACGCAATCGACGGTGGCCGAGACGTTGGAAGTCAGGACTTTCAAGGTCATGGAAACTGAGTGAGACGCTGTTTACATGGACCGTCGTCTTCCATCCGTATGTTCTAAAGTTAAGTATTAATATCGCGGTCAGTCTAAGACCTGCCTCTGCATCAGCGCTCGTTGGCCGAGCCCTCCAGATGGCCACCACTGACATGATCTCTTGAGCACACGATCTCTTGAGATGGCCACCAATGACATGATCTCTTGAGCACACGATCTCTTGAGATGGCCACCACTGACATGATCTCCTGAGCACACGGGTCTGTCAGAAGTCGCCTGTCGTTGCCAGTCATCAAGAGTAGACGGGGAGCCTGCCTGACCGGCTCTCCGCCCCGCGTCCCGTTCACACCGCCGCGACTGAGCACACGCCGCTTCCATCCCGCCGGCCAACTGGCACTGCAACCCTCATTCGTCAGATCGCGCCCGTCTGCACCGGTGCACGCTCTGGACGCCGTTCAGCGACGCAGTCCAGAGTCCGCTGCGTCCTTCCGATCCCAGCGACCATCCGCCAGCGGTCGCTGCCTCACCTGCTTGCAGCGCTGGGCGTCCTCGCAGACGGCCTCCGCCCGACTCAGCGGCAGCTCGGCCCGCTCGTCGTCCGGCGGCGTCTTCTCGCGCAGCGTGCGCACCTGCTCCCGGATCTGGCCGATCAGCCGGTCCAGCATCTGCTGGGCGCTGCTCAGCAGCAGACCCTGCGGCGGACACGGCGGTCAGCGGCGGCGCCCGGGGGCGTGGGCGGCGGCGCAGGCCACTGCCCTGCGACGACACACTGGCGCCGGGCTGCTGTCGCAGGCCTGACAACACGACACGAGACCGGCCACATTGGCCACGCGGTGTCAGAGAGCAAGCACGCTCTGTATCCATATAGCTCATTCCAGTTGCGAGTGGTAAGCATGGCCACCCGTGGGCCGGTGCCGACATGACGCCCCGTGCGCGCCCCCACCTCTGCCACCCGCGCAGCCGAGGTCACAGTCGCGCGACAACCCCCGCCGGCACCGGCGTCTGTCTGACCTGCTGGAGCCGGAAGGCCTGGCCACTGTGGCGCATCTGCGGCGCCATGTTGCGGTGCAGCAGGTCCTGCAGCCGGCGCCACACCGCCTCCGTCCGATCCGGCGACAGCTTCATGCACGGCGCCAGGTCGTACAGCGGCGCCGGGATGTACTTCAGCGTGTGGTTGCTGCGGCACACGTGTGCACCATCGTGAGAAACGTGTGCACCATCTACCGCTACCAAACTAGCGTGTCGTTACTCTAGCAGAAACGCAATTCATGTGTGCGCAGTGCTGCACATGTCTATATCACGGAACGGCCACTAAAACAGAAAAAAACACATGCCGCTTAAGCCTTAGCCTTAAGCCTAAGCCCTAGCCTTTATCAACAATCCCGTGCCCACCAAGACTTAAGCAGTCCGCCCCGAGCGCCCATCACCACCGGGGCGGCGGTCGGGCTGGCCGGGCTCACCTCTGCAGGCCGTAGGCGATGTCGGAGAGGCCCTGCAGACTGACGCCGTTCCGATCGAGGCTGATCTGGCGCAGCCGACAGTTGATCTGCAGCGCCTTGGAGAGCAGCCGGGCGCCCGTGTCGCCCATCAGGTTACCGCTGCCGCCGGCCGACACAGACAGAGCCGGAGTCAGCGGGCCGTGCGGCGCTCACACCGTCGGGGGACGACCAACTGCGGGCGCCGCTCACCGGCCGACCGGCCGCTCACCGGCCGGTCGGCCGGGCAGCGGCCGCCCTGCTGCGTCATACACTGCCAGTCTGTCACCGGCCAAGCCGCGGTCCGGTGTCGGCACTGTGTCCCGCTGATGATCTGACCGGACCCCATCAGCCGTGCCCCGCTGGTGGTCTGACCAGACCCTGTGAGTCGTGTCCCGCTGATGGTCTAACCAGACCCTGTGAGTCGTGTCCTGATGATGATCTGACCGGACCCCGTCAGCCGTGTCCCGCTGATGGTCTAACCAGACCCCGCCAGCCGTGTCCTGATGATGATCTGACCGGACCCCGTCAGCCGTGTCCCGCTGATGGTCTAACCAGACCCCGTCAGCCGTGTCCCACTGATGGTCTAACCAGACCCCGTTAGCCGTGTCGCGCTGATGGTCTGACCACACGCCATCAGCCGTGTCCGACCTCCCTCCGACCCCACCTGATGTCCAGCGTCTGTAGGCAGTTGTTGCTGCCGAGCGCGTTCAGCAGACTATAGAGGTCGGCCTTCAGCCGCGAGTCGTTGATGTACAGCACCTCCAGCATGCAGTCCTCCTCCTGGCGGCACAGGCGGCACACGATGTCACGGGGTGGGACAGGCGGCCGGCCGGCACAGCGGGGCCCGGGCTCAGCAGCGCGCCGCCTGCATACTGTATTTGTCCCCCCGTCGTGACAGGCACAACCAGGGACACTCAAACACGCCAGCTCCACATCGGGACGGAAAGCACCCGGACCAGGGAGTCACCCATGGCCGTGGGCGAAGTGTCGTGTCTGCTGCCCACGACACACATTATGCGCACTGTTCGGCTCCGCCAAAGGCACCACCAGCACCCTCGAGCGTACCTGAATCATCTGTACCACCGCATCCACCACGTGATGTACGTGCTTGGATTTGGTGTTGGCCATGTTGCGGCCCATCTTGAGGATGCGTACCGACTTGTTGCGGCTGACAGCGGTCACAACGCCGGCCAGGTCCTGCTCCAGGCCTGGCGAGACAACGAGCCGACGACGCTCAGTCGGGCGGGAGGCGAGGAGGCCTCCCGTACCGACACGGACACGGATGAGACAACGGGCCGACGGTGCTCAGTCAGGCGGGAGGCGATGAGGCCTCCCGGACCGACAAGGACACAGACGGGCCGGCGGGCCGGCGGCGCTCAGTCGGACGGGAGGCGACATGACATCGGCGGCGGGGGGAGGTCTCCCGTCGCCGCTCGGTCAGACCGGTACGGACACAGGCGACAAACGGCGCCAGCTGCGGCCGATGGAGGCGACTGTTATGTCTGGAGGTGACGATGCTGGTAATGATCGGGCTGGAATATGAACATCGCTGACACACATGGCTAATGTCTGATACTATGAGCCCGCCGCGAGACATGGGATGATCATATAAGAACATAAAATTGGCTCAGATCCAGCTGGAAGGGAGCACCACCGCATCACCAATACGGTCCGCGGCACAGACGTACCGTTTTCACTGATGTCCAGCGAGGCGATGCACTTCACGCCGTGGATGCAGGACTCGAGCACGTGCGCGCCGGGCGGGCCCAGACTGTTGGCGCTCAGGTCCAGCTCCACGTCCACCGTAGACTCGTTACAGGCCAGGCCAAGCAGCAGGTTCCTGGCGCGGGAGGACAGGCGAACGTGGCGGCGGCACAGTTTGTCGCTAGCTACCGCGTAGATGAATTACACGGCACCTGACGATAAACCGAGCCCAATCATCCAACACCGATACAAAATGGTACAATAGCTAGTACGAGCATCTTCTGTACAACGGCGAGTGGCGGTCGCGACAATCACTTGGACCGCGACGTCCTGGTAATATGTACGACGCTATTGCCATGCAAGGGCTCGTGCTTGTGACTGGGCGTGTCTATGTCACACCAGGGGCGTCAGAGTCTCTCACTTGAGCGCCTCCAGGGGCATCCGGCAGCTCGAGCAGTTGAGGTATTTGAGCGCGATCGTGCTGGTGAAGAACTGCTTGAACGACGGCGGAATGTCCTTGGACTTCTTGGTGTTGAACACATTCTTGGAGACGTCCAGCCGGGCCAGGTGGGTGGTACACCCCCGCAGGAGGGCGCCGAATATCTGCCCGCAGCGGACCGCCTCACAATACACCCCCGCAGCGGATCACGTCACAATACACCCCCGCAGCGGGCCGTGTCACAATACACCCCCGCAGCGGATCACGTCACAATACACCCCCGCAGCGGATCACGTCACAATACACCCCCGCAGCGGATCACGTCACAATACACCCCCGCAGCGGACCGTGTCACAATACACCCCCGCAGCGGATCACGTCAAAATACACCCCCGCAGCGGATCACGTCACAATACACCCCCGCAGCGGATCACGTCACAATACACCCCCGAAGTGGACCGTGTCACAATACACCCCCGCAGCGGACCGTGTCACAATACACCCCCGCAGCGGACCGTGTCACAATACACCCCCGCAGCGGATCACGTCACAATACACCCCCGCAGCGGACCGTGTCACAATACACCCCCGCAGCGGACCGTGCCACAATACACCCCCGCAGCGGACCGTGTCACAATACACCCCCGCAGCGGATCACGTCACAATACACCCCCGCAGCGGACCGTGTCACAATACACCCCCGCAGCGGACCGTGTCACAAAACACCCCGCAGCGGATCACGTCACAATACACCCCCGCAGCGGATCACGTCACAATACACCCCCGCAGCGGACCGTGTCACAATACACCCCCGCAGCGGACCGTGTCACCATACACCCCCGCAGCGGATCACGTCACAATACACCCCCGCAGCGGATCACGTCACAATACACCCCCGCAGCGGACCGTGTCACAATACACCCCCGCAGCGGATCACGTCACAATACACCCCCGCAGCGGATCACGTCACAATACACCCCCGCAGCGGATCACGTCACAATACACCCCCGCAGCGGATCACGTCACAATACACCCCCGCAGCGGACCGTGTCACAATACACCCCCGCAGCGGATCACGTCACAATACACCCCCGCAGCGGACCGTGTCACAATACACCCCCGCAGCGGACCGTGTCACAATACACCTCCGCAACGGACCGCGCCACAATACATGCTCGCGGCGGACCGTGTCACAATGCACCCCCGCAGCGGACCATGTCACAATACATGCCAGCAGCGGACCGCGTCACAATACAAGCTCGCAGCGGACCGCGGCACAGGTGGCCGTCGCGTGCCGTGAGTACTTGGGCCCGCTCGTGTCCGCAGTGCCAATTTAACACGCCATGCCAGCTGCACCCGCAGTGCGGTCCGCCAGCCTGTGAAGCCTTCCATTAGCGTGCCGAACACACAAGATTCTTGGTCGTTATGCGTGAGAACGAGGCCCAGACAATGTCCGCCGTACTGGCACATAAGCACGGCGTCATTCCTACATTCGCACGGCGCAGAGTGGGCACCCTGTACGTAGGCAAAACACCAGCTAATAGTCACACGTGACCTTGGAGGCCGACTTTGTGAGCGCTGGTGAAGTCCCAGCGCCGATCGGGGACTCAAGGAACCGCTAGGGGACCACTGTGATGCGGGCCAGGTCAGCGGCTGCACGCGGCGGTCGACCGGGCGCTGAACACCGCGAGCTGCTGCTCGCTCCGCTCCGGCGAATAGGGGGGTCACACGCCGGTGCAGCCGGGCACGGTGGCTGCACGAAGTAGCCTGCACCCCGGCTGGTGGGGTGAAGCCAGCCGCAGCCGCGCGGCGCTAACCCAGTCCCGGCGTCGGCGGACCGGCCGGCAGCGCCGCCGCTCACTCACCGAGTCCAGCAGCAGGTCGCAGCCGCTGACGTTCAGTGACGTCACGGCGTTGGGCTGCGCCAGGAAGTTGTACAGGTTGGTCACCTCCTCCTTCATGTTGTTGCCGCTGAGGTCGAGCGCCGTCAGCGTGGTGGACATGGTGCGGTTGAGGCTGAGCGCGTGGCAGAGCTGGTTGACGCCCTTGGCCGTCAGGTTGCAGTGGGCGAAGCCGAGCCGCTTCAGGCCCTTGGAGGCCCGGCCGACGGGGCCCGTCAGGTGTGAGGCGCCTGCGGCCGGGGCGAGAGGGCGGCGCGTGAGGGCGGGGCCGGCCAACCGCGCCGGCCATACGGCAACGGCGGACGACCGCACCAGGTACAAAAACGGACCAATCGCACTGCTAATGCACCCAATTCAGGTCATGGCCAGTATGGGATATGCACCCTCTCGGGTTCGATGTGTCACTCGTACGCAAAGCAGTGACGGCGTAAAGTTTACAGCTAAATAACTTCGACGGCTCACGCAACTAGGGAGTACGATAAGTAAATCAAGGAGTAACGGTCAACTTAAATAAGTAAAATGTCAACTGATGTGAGTCACCTATGACCATCACAAACCACCATCTGGGGAGCGCGTAGTGCCACCATTGTGTAGAAGAAGTTAACCAGGCAAAGGCGTGACCACAAGGAAGCGCAATACTAACAAATCCTTCGCTAAATAACGTTTTGCAAGGGACTATCAATCTAACTACTATTACAATACAATGGGGACTATTGCTATCGTGACCATTGACCTCACATATCCAGAGACAATGTTTGTTTATGTTTCATAGCTCCTTCGAAAGTACTGTAGGATGAGAGACTAAAGTTATCGAAAGGGTGACGTGAACCTTTCTGTTGCTCTCCAACGAAATGTCATAGAAGCAGATACATTTCCTCTCTCTCCCCCATCAGTCAAGGGTGAAAAAGATTACGTACATACACAGAATGAAACTAACGTTCGCCGCGAATCTCTGACTAACGCAGCGAATCAACAAATGCATACAATGTGTCGTAATGTAAATATAAATGTAAGCAAGAAATGTACCACGATAAGTGGCGATAACTGGGAAGCGCGACATGGTTTTCGAGTGGTTACCAAGGAAAGTGGAAGCTACCGAAATGCCAGGCAGATACGAGGCAAATCCTATGAGCAACGGGCCCCATGGGTTGGTGGTACACTTACAGGATCATAAAAAATTAGCGGCTGGGATACATAGAACTTGCCGACAATAAATATACTGGTATGCCAAAGCATGAATTGGTCATATAGGTCCCTGGTCAGCTAGCTTAGCAGCTAAGTGAAGTTTGCATTGACTACGTTGCAGTGATATATAAACTAAACGAAGTTATTTTCGCTTCACTCATGCCCCTTCACGGCAGCCAGGCGGGGCTGCTCCGAAACGACAATGACATCAGCGGACAGCGCTGATGCTCGTAAGTGCGTTGCCACTGGTCAGTTCCTCTTTACACAAGCAACTGGCGCGGAGACACAGGCCGCCCTGAACCGGGTTATCCGCCGCGCGTTCATGGACGAGTACGAGCACCTCCGCCACCACATATGCGCTTGCACGCACTATTACGCTCCCAACGACGCACCCACCGCCAGCCTCAACGAAAAGCAACACATAGAGCGGCGTTACGGGAGGCACCCTCTCCGAAGCGGCCGAGCTGCGAGAGATGCGGGCGTTATTCAGTGGTCGGACCGGGAGGCACGTCACGGCCGCTGGACACCACGGCGGCCGGCATGCAACGGCCGGCGACATCACACGTGTCGGGGCGCCGGCACCGCTGGGGAGTGACCGGGCGCCGGCACCGCTGGAGAGTGACCGGGCGCCGGCACCGCTGGGGAGTGACCGGGCGCCGGCACCGCTGGATAGTGACCGGGCGCCGGCACCGCTGGGGAGTAACCGGGCGCCGGCACCGCTGGGGAGTGACCGGGCGCCGGCACCGCTGGATAGTGACCGGGCGCCGGCACCGCTGGGGAGTGACCGGGCGCCGGCACCGCTGGATAGTGACCGGGCGCCGGCACCGCTGGAGGGTGACCGGGCGCCGGCACCACTGGGGAGTAACCGGGCGCCGGCACCGCTGTGGAGTGACCGGGCGCCGGAACCGCTGGAGAGCAACCGGGCGTCGGCACCGCTGGAAAGTGACCGGGCGCCGGCACCGCTGGGGAGTGACCGGGCGCCGGCACCGCTGGGGAGTGACCGGGCGCCGGCACCGCTGGGGAGTAACTGGGCACCGGCACCGCTGGAGAGTAACCGGGCGCCGGCACCGCTGGGGAGTAGCCGGGCAACGGAACCGCTGGAGAGTAACCGGACGCCGGCACCGCTGGGGGTGCTCACCGGTACACCTGACATGCAGCACTCCCTGATTGTCGCGGATATATCCACAACAGCAGATCGGACGATAAACACAACGCTGCTTGTACAGCCCGTTTTCTGCCGCCTGGTTGCGTTCTGATGGCCTTATAAGGCTCGTCCAGCAGGAACATTCCGGATACGGCCACGAGCCGGGCGACACAAAAACAGCATTCAGCGAGCCGGTTTTTTCATGACTGCCTGGACACGCGTCCGTTCCCGCCTGAAAGGAGCCTTCGCCGACTCGGTGATAAGCGACGCCACAGCTGCCCCCATGGACTGACTACACTGCACCAAGCACCGGATCATGCAGGACTACAACAGGGAGGCGCCCAGACTCTGTACAATGACGCCACGAAGCGGGTCACACCCCCACCCGGCTGTGGGGACATGCTCGCCGACATACACCGACACAGCGTCACGACAGTTAGTGGGTGGCGTCCAAACCTGGTGGAGTCTCGGCTATCTTGGCTATGGCAGGTACAAAATGGGCTACACCTAAAAAAAGAGCAGACAGACAAGACGACAGTGAGGTACCCGGGGCGTCACGGACACTGCGCGATCGTGGTCCGCAAGACAGGGGACAGCATGGGACCCACCGCGTCTTGAACAATAGAACACAGACATCTGGATGTCGCATGTCACTGCCAAGAGCTTACATGTCAGTTCCAATATTCCAAGAGCTAACTGAGACACCAAAGAACACCGTCGGAAACACTGCGAGGTAGCACCATGCCATTAACCAGCCATAATACCTCTTGATCTCATGTCAAAAATACCACGACTTTTAGCCATCGTGTTCATCACACCACGCGGGCGCCCTCGATTTCATCCGCGAGTGATTCCGACTTCACAGGCCGCACCGACGGCCCGCTTCGGCTGCTGGTCACGACTCGCGGCATGTTCACGCGGCCGGAGCGTCGGGGCCGACACACAAGAAACAGACCGAGACGGGCTACCAGTCACCAGCATCACCCGCTACAAAAAAGCGAAACGCCGTCACGGCTGGAAATCCCCTCACGAATGAAAATCACCCGCTCGTATCAGTTAAAAAACTTGACATGCCACAGGCATTGATATTTAAGGGTTATTCCCCATGACGTACACGTCTTCGAACATATGGCGATAACTTACCGCGGGCCACGTGCAAACCATGCATTCCGCGGTGGTGTTTCACAAAAACAGCACCGGAACCGACACGATACCACGGTCCGTGACCGCCGGCCGACCGGCTGACAGCTGCCTGTTTCCTCGCGCGTGTCTTACAAGAGAAGACATCACACAGGCAGGCGCACAGTTTCACCGTCGCACAACACACTGTCTTTACATTGCGAGGTGTTTAGTGCCGGTTAAGGTACTGCTGCCTGACGGCCTCCCAGCCTTCCGTTCGCCGGGCTATTCCCGACCGACGGCTGGCCACGCAGCCGAAAACCCCTCGCCGTGCGCGTGGCATTCGGTACCGACGGACACTCGAAGGGCCGCAGGGACTCGGCAGCGCTGGGGCTCCAGCACCGCCAGCTGCGGCGGGCGTCCCCCTGCGGCACCCGCCCGAGCCGGCCCCAGGGCCGAGGTCGGCCAGCGCAGCGCGGCGCGCTTACCCTTGTCCTCGACGGCGTTGTGCGACACGTCGAGCACGGTCAGCAGCGAGCTGGTGTTGGCCAGCAGCGCCATCGACAGCTTGCCAGCCAGGTCCCTGCGGGCGGAGCGCACCGACATCCTGTCTGCCTGTCTGCCTGTCTGTTGCCATCCGATGGCGGAGACGGCTCAAAGGGCCACGCACCGCACCGGACACGAGGCAGTCGGCGGACGATTTATGATTTGTTTGATTTGTGATTTGTTGTGTGTTCGTTCTGTTTCCAGACGTAATGAAAGAGCCTTGACCATCTTAGTAGTCAATTTGTTCCAAGGAAATAATGGACTTAAGTAAACGCGTAGCTTAGGAGTTACCCTGCAGTCAGAACCAACGCATAAGTTCCCATTAATTCCTTGGCCGAAAGCGTATGAAGCAAAACACCATTAACTGCATGACCGTTTCTCACTACCGTTGGACCATGGGGCGTATACATAATAGATCAGAGCTGGCTCGGCGTGGCCGCATGCGACCATTCGGCCGGCCGGTCGGGCGACTCACGCCTTGAGGCCGGTGTTGTCCAGGTACACCTCCTCCAGGCTGACTGACTTCTTGAGCACGTGCAGCAGCCGCTCGGCCGCCTCGTGCGAGAGCCGCAGGTGCGAGATACGCAGCTTGGTGAACCACGTGTTGTACTCGAGCGCCGAGATGATGGGCACCAGGTCCCTGCGACGACCGACCGACCGGTGACCAACGGCGGGTCCGGTCAGGGCGGCGGCCTCGGCATGCCGGTCTGCACTCATGCGACCCCCCCCCCCTCCCACACACACTCACCAACACCCCGTCACGCACAATATGATACCGCAATTTCCGGCGCTCGGAAGCGGACAATGTTGGTGCCGATCGCAGGGCCAGGCCGGTGGATGGCACCACAACGGCGGCAAGGAGAAGAGGACACCTGAAGGTCGAGGGATAGCGGCGCACCGCGACTCACTTGGGGTCCAGGTGGTCAAAGTCCTGCAGGCTGAGCTCACGGGAGTCGTGTGACAGGTAGATAGTGTCCACGTCCTGCGGCGGCAAAAGGAGTTAGCTCACAGCTTGCAGGCCCGCTGATGTTGAAAGCATGGCTGTAATATTCCTTGTGGATGCTGAATGTTTAGGCGTAAAAGGATAGCTTAAGACTCAAAGGATATGACATCTGGAAAGCTCACCCAAATCGTGGATCTACGGGCACGTCAGCAATATCTCTAACCGAGAGAATAGCTACTGCACTGAAGTAATTCAGCAAACGCTGGCACTATTTCAGACGCAAAACTTCGCTATTTCACGCACTGACAAGCGAGACGCTGCCGTCCATCCGCTGATGCAAACACTACAGCAGCTGCCGGCCGGCGATGGAGCGCGGCGGCAGGGCAGCCGCAGCGGTCGCAGGCGCAGGCGCAAGCCCTCGGCCGCCGACGGCCCACGTACCCAGGCCACCTCCTCCCGGTAGGGCAGGTTGTGGTAGTCGCACATGCACGCGTACTGGGTGGAGAAGCCGCCACACGGCACCGGCTCGCGCGCCTCCACCAGGCGCGCCACCTCGTGCAGCTTTTGCACGCGGCGCGCCGGCACGACGTCCAGCTTGCGCACAATGTGACTGAGGAACGAACTTGGTCAACAGGGTCACTGCGACGCCACCCACCGGGATCACACTAGGTCACACACTCTAGCGCCAGCGGGGCCCCGGCACCGGTCAGCCGCCCGGGCCCCGCTGGGCGCGCCACGGCAGCGTGCGGCGCCGTCCCGGGGTCACCGCCACCGGTGTGTCCAACGATCTGACACGGCATACAGGTGTGGTCTGGTCGCCAGCAGGCGGCCCGTTCCTGGACGGACCGGACGGACCGCGCGTGCTGCCGTCTCCGCAGCAGCGCAGAGGAGACTCGTTGCTCCACGCACGACACCAACATGGCCACTACGGACTGTTAGCCCAACCAGCTCGGGACAGGCGCAGCTAAGCACGCCGCGAGCACTCGCTGGGGTCCTTACCGAACCCCGGCCCTGACTGCGCCCTCACCTGAGTGGCACTGAAGGGAAGATGTTCTTGATGGAGACGCCCAGATTGATGATCATGGCGTCAATCTCATTGTGCCTGTCGTCCGCCGGGATGAACGTGTAACGCTTGTCATTGACCACCAGGCAGAACTGTGGCATGAAACGCTGCATTGAACCAACTCTCAATGGGTTCAAAAATGGATACTGAGAACCACGGGCGTAGTTTCACAAACTGAGTTGAGGGAGGTGGTTGAACAGTGACAAATGACTTAATCTACCAATAAATATGTGAACAATAACATTTTCCCACCTGTGGCGCACTTTCTTACATAAATTGTTCAGTGCATTAGCGAGGAACATGATTCGCATAAGACAGTAGTATTAGCCTTCTTCCTCGGAAAAACCAGGAGAATGGAGATATAATTTGGTTGGTATTTCGGCGACATGCCTTTATCAAAACAAAAGCAGAAGTCTGTTGTTTGTGTTCTGCTTTTGTTTCGATAAAGGCATGTTGTCGAAATATCAACCAAACTAAATCTCCATTCTCCCAGTTTTTCTGAGGAATAAGGCAAACACTACTGTCTTATCTATGTGGCTCACTTTCTTCACAATACTGGGGAGGGGGAGCTGGAGCCCAAGTTAAGGAGTGAGGGCTTAAAGCCCCCTCCCCCCAACTGAATAAGAAACCACATCCCTCCCTGATAGGACCATTTCTTACAAGTCAATTTCCATTGTTGGGAGCTAAAATAATGTGTTCCAAAAGCTTGCTATATCATCTTGATAACACCTAGATGATGCCATCCATGAACCATATCTACAACTAGGCTTCATTTTATAGTGCAATTCACAGCACCCTGCACCAATGACACAAATTAGGTTGCTTACACCAAATGAGGGGCACATTTGGTTATTACATACCTCTGTTGTTTGCTTGCTTTCAATTGCCTGGATGTCCAGATAGTGGAAATGGTGGTCGATCTGCAAAAAACAAAAACATAAAGGTTGCAATCTGTACCACATTTACTTTACTAATTAAAACCCATTAGTTGCTACATTTGTGTCTCTTAAGCCTCAACAAAATGGTTTATAGAATGACAAATGAATCGAAGAAAACACAACAGAACTTAACAGATCATGACAGGATATGATATATATATATATATGTATATATATATATATATATATATATATATATATATATATATATATCAGAAAGAGTCCAGAGCCCACACTGGCAATTACATGAGACAACAGCAAACATACCCGTGAAGGAACTTTGGCGGTCATGATGAAGAGACGGCAAGCAGAGAAGGCCTGAAACAGAGCACTGTTAAACAAACAAAAAACTAGTGAGCTGACATGTACATGAGTCCTTTTTTGCATGTTCCAAGCAAATCCAAAGACTCAAGTTAATGAGAGCACCATGGCACAAAGTGACCTAAGGCAAATACCAGGACATATTCTTCTATGACATAGTGTAACAAAGAGCCATTCAAACCCTTGACCAAGTCCACCATGCATTCAGTCTGGTTACTGACTAACAATGGACTCAAAGTATGACCATCTTGTGTGGGCAGCTGTATGACTGATTACTGAGATGCTAGCACATTCTTAACAAGAATATCATCAGAAACAACAAAGAGCAAAGAGTAGACTAAAACAGAAAGCACATGCAACATTTCACAACATACCAGTACTCTGTTCTCAAATTTGTCTTGCTTGGTCTCCATTCTAACCATGCATTTCATGGATATCTTCACAGCCCGTCCCAGACAGGTTCTGATGCTCTCTGCAAAAAATGTTTGTCAGTTTATCAGACTGAAATGGCTGCAAAAAAATTGTAGAGCTATTTGTATAGGTGAAGTAATCTATCAATAGTTGTTGCATGCCTGGAAAAATTAACTTTACCGTGTTTCTAAGTCAATGGAGCCGTCCAATTGCTCCTGCACTGAGACAGACAAACATATAGTTCTAAGGTGGAAGATCATCACAGGTACATTTTAATACTGCATCATTATGTTAAAAGATGCCAGCTTGATTATTCTCTGATATGAACATTCCATTTTTGAGTCAATAATTTTATTAGTATAGAGCACAATAAGCTTGAAGGCTAGGTTATTTATCTCTTTCATCCTAGAATTTTTCAGTGCAAACTGAAAAACCCTACTAACAAATAGCCCATTACAGTTCAGCCTGCACAACATAAATCCACTGTGCTGGATGCCAGCAGCCAATATAACATAGGCAGGGTTGAACCTTATCCTTGCAACAGCGGAACTCAGGGCGAGACATAATGTGGTGAAGTTTTGAATCCCTTCAGTGCTAAAAACTGTTTTTGGATGGTTGGTAGCTTCCTGCCCAGTTTCTCTCTCACCATAATAACCCTTGAAATATTGTCACTCTCCATAGCTCTCTGTGCTGAAATAAGCAACAATGAAATTGCTCATGCATCAATAGCTCAAACCTCTGAAATTGGACACTGCGCCAAACTTTAATCCTGGAATAAACTGCATACTACATTATGAAGATATTTTGCACTACGTACTGATATTGTCACACTACATCACTAAAATTATTTTGGCTGTGCATGTGTGATTATGTTTTTGCTGTGAAAGCTAGGCTGTACTGGACATGTTACACATGACATGTATGTTTCCAAGTCTGGGCTACCATCCTGGCTTGGACAGTTACTCAAGTTAAGACCATTCAGATCACAGGGGCATTGTCAGCATAACAGACAATGCTCCTTAAAAAACAAGTCCACAAATCAGATATCAATCACCTGAAAAAATGGAGCATACACCTACTTCCCTACCTTAGGAGCAAGTTGTAGTTGAGGTATGGCTGGTTATCAGGGATTGGGAGCAATAATAATGAAAGCATACTTACCATTAAGATCCCTTGTGAGCACACTTCGGATTGACATGATTGCTTCTCTGTAGCAATGATTCAAGGTGACTCCCGGCTAGGTCAAATGCCAAGCTTACAATGACAGGCCACTCAAGCTTCTAAATGTATCAAAAACATGCAGGATTGAGCTGGACGTTCAGGTTAAACACGTCCCCACACCTCCTTATCGATGTCAAAAAGAAACTCATTCTCCATCCAGACAGTCATCCAAAGAAAATGCCCACTTCTGGTGGGAAATTCTAATCTAAACATCCATGACTCGACCGACCATCGCCGGGCTCCCTCCCTAAGCACTGCTCCCCTTCCCACTTATGAATCAACACAACGAGAACTGGGCACGGCCTTGCTCGTCGGCACCACTCATTGACTGCCATACGCCGCCATCGACACCAAGCCCCGAAAATTACATTTTTATCAGGTGTTGAAGAGGACTGTGCAAAAAATAATCAGGTTTTCAACATATTGAAGCATTAAAGTAACGATAAGTCATGAACATATTAGTTTTTACGCATTATGGTTATAGCAACTGAAAACATGCGAGTAACAACCACAAAAGTGTTTCTCAATGTGTGTTCTATTTAGATCAAAATATTGTTTTAATTAATGTAGTGGAACCATGAAAAAGCCCTTAACTATCCACGGCTTGATTAAGCTAATTTGAGCGTTCTTGAAAGGAGGCGTCTGAAAGCAAATGCGAATGATGAACGCCAGCAACCAAATCACAAAACACCACAGTTAGGTTAACTAGACATGAAACTACGTAGGTTGTTAAGGGCACGCGCGAGGAACATTATTCGCATAAACAAGACAGTACTACAAGCAGTATTCCTCGAAGAAAACCAGGAGAATGGAGGCATAAATACGTTGATATTTCGGCAACACGCCCTTATTAAAACAATAGCAGAAGTCAAGACTTCCGACTTTAGTTAGTGAAGGCTTTATGTTGATCGGTCATATAATCTCAGAGCATGACTTTGACTGCAGCCAATTTTGGTGGCTTTGGGCGTTTTCGGTAACCTTTGACCTGACTACAGGTCACCATGTTCTGGAAAGTATGGAATATTGACTTTGAAGACTTTACACTATGACGCATCGATTAGCAACGCTTTATCCCGATCGGTCCCATGCCCTCGGAGCTCGCGTTGTCTGCAGCCAGTCTTGGCAATTTGGGGTGTTTCTGGTGACTTTTGACCTAACTGAAGGACAAATGTTCTAGACAGGATAGTATATCGATTGTGGCACATCTATTAGTCAAGGTTTCATGCTGACTGGTCCAACAGTCTGTGTGCATCGGGTTGTCTGCAGCTAGTCTGGGTGACATGGGGCGTGTTTAGTGACCTTTAACTCGGCCTAAAGTCACCATATTCTGGAAAATGCAAGATATTGACTACGGCGCATTGATTGGACAACGTTTTATGCTGATCCGCACTATGGGCTCGGAGCATGGGATTGTCTGCAAGCCTTTTTCGGTTTTCTGTATTTTGGTGACCTTTAATCTAACCTAAGGTCACCATGTTCTGAAAGGATGGGTGCCATAGGCTTGGAGCGTGGGGATATCAGCAGGTTTCGTCGGCCGTGAAGTCCCTGCCGACAAGGCCGTATTTTTGCCTCTCAGCATACGCGCTGATTTTGCCAAACGTGCCCGGCCAAAGCCCGGATGATTGTGCATGAGTTGTGCGGGAGCGACGTACGCCCGGCTTTGGTGCTCACGACGGTTGCGGCTCAGATTGTTCAACGGCGTTGTACCTGCATGTTGTAGTTATGTGCTATGAATTAAGACTTGGTTCTTACCTCTCTAGCAGAAATCGTTGTACCAAGCGGCATGCTCAGGTGTTGGGGGTGGAAGAAGTTCGGTTTTTCAGGTGGTGGAAATTGTTTTCAGATTATAGGCCCCCATAGGTGACGTTATACATCGAGGGCAGTGGGAGCAAAGTTCATAGGCATAACCAAATGTAACATTGATGTTCCAATAGTACAGCTTTTGGCTGAAGTCTGGCTTCAAATCATGCCAGAAACTTTTTTAATTTTTTTTATCTTTACTGGAGAGACATTGACCACACCAAAAAGTGCATGTTTCACTGACTGCAAAAATACCTAGTTTCACTAAAGACATGTGTTGTGTACAGCAACATGCAAGGATAGTTTCTGGGCTATGAAAGTATAGTGGCTTACATGCCCTTGTTGGCCACCAGATGTACAAGGTTTGATTCCCCTTTCTTACTATGCCTGCCCTCCATGCCAGAGTGAGAGATAGGAGATGTCATGTGGTCTCATGAACAGGGTGTGTTGTAAAGCCTGAGTGATGACAACAAGCATAGCAGGGCATGTTTGTCAGATATCGTGGGATTGCAGAGTTTTATAGAGGTCCATTCATTTTAGCCCATGGATAGCCAAGTAATATTGCTAGTCCAAAGATAATTTTAAGCAAATATGCTCTAGCAATGCTATTACTGTCAATAAAATATGCAAAATCAGCATAATTTGGCCTGATGTGAGTTGGGAGCATAGCACTCAGCACACTGATGTCCAGCAGGCATCCAGTACAGTCAGTGGAGTTTTGCACAATGGGAAAGCAGTTTTGCCCAGTGTAACCAAAAGAATACTTAAAGAATAATCTGAAATGCATGGAAATTGATGGGCACCTTTAAGGTATCAAGGCATATCTTATGGCATTATCTGTAATTTTTATATTATCTCACCTAGTGAATACTTTTGTTACCTTCATCAGAGAACTTGTGTAGCCTCATACTCATCTCATGGTGTTACATGGGCAAGATAAGTGTGGGGGTGGGCTGAGCTGAGAAAAGGCTAAACCTATCTCCAAATTACACTAAAAATTAAAATATCTCCAACTCTGGCCTCTTCTTTCACAGAGTAAGGTGAGCTAGAGCCTCCATAACTGAATGGGAAAACCCACACATCAGCTCATACTTTATGGCAATGAATGCCCTGAAACAGTTATCTCAACCTGACATCCTGGATCAAGTTCAACATTTTTTTGCAAACATTTGATACAGTAGCAATATTATTTCTTCCAGCTATTATATAACAGGCTGTTAAGTGTCCTACATTAAGGTGTAGTCCACATTACCAAGCTGAAAGGATGCTAATGGGGGGTCTAATGGAAAGGATGCTGATGCTAAAGGTCAGCATTATTTCATTTTGTGCATGTGAAGGACATTCACAATACATAAAATAACTTATAGCATGGAATGCATTTTAATAAGAGGGGGTTTTAGCATGTAAGGGATGCCTGGAAAGTAAGGTAGTTGGATGAGTGATATGTGCAGTTCGGTGGCACATGGCATGCATTTAATCACAATATAAGCTATATAGGTGAAGTTGTCTGCCATTTATATCAGTTAGTACTCTTGTCTGAAAATCAGTTATATGTGCTTACTATCAGGATCATGGAGCTTCATCTTACATGTAATCCACATTTCAGTGGCATGCAGGCAGTAGTATGAGAAAGCTGCCATCAAAAAGTCTTGGAGATACACTGCACAGGGCAGGTGTTTACACTTGCATGGGAGTGACTGGGGTAAGAGTTGGTACATTACTTGATTCCAGTTGAAGCTTGTGGTGAATATGCTGCTCCTGCCACCTGGGTTTAAGCTCATGCAGTGTATGATGTGAGCTGAAACCATTCTGGTCCCCACATTGGCAGCTAATGATGGTGCTAGATAGACTGATTTGCGTACTCTAGATAGATTGATGATGAGAGAACATGGAATCTGAGGACTTGACAGCTCAGTAAGCCTCATGGTATTGTTCACATTTCTGCTGAGGCTGAATCTTTGTTATGTTAGCTCATATTTGGTATTATATGCCATGAGAAAGATTATCACTGGTGAAGCACAAAGTCATGAATGTGTTGTTGGCTGCCCAGGATATATGAGCCCCACCAGGCTGTCACTTGTCCTGTTTGGCCATCCATAAGCAACAGCTGTCAGCCACCAGCTGTACCTGAGGCCTCCATGACTGTGACCATCTGTGGCAGGTGTGCCTGGTATACTGCGGCTGGCACGCCTACACGTTCTTCACCAAGGTCAAGCCTCAGCGAGAGCGCCAGCTGCTGGAGAAGAAGCGTCAGCTGCTGGACGAGGGCGCCGCGCCGGAGCACGAGCTGAAGGAGGGCGTGCCGCGCGTACAGTACTAGACATGCAGCTGCTGCTGGGTGGCAGCTGCCGGCAGCTGGTCATGGCCACCGCCGCCTCGCTTTGCCGACGCGCGCACGGACAAGCCGTGAGTAGCGCCAGCTTTGCTGGCCAGGACGCGCAGCACGCGCCATTGCTTGGTGTGCCGGTGCGTGTTGTCCTGAGCGCTGACGTGCAATGGCTGCCGACCACAGTGCACAGTGCTTCAGATATGGCTGAGGAGTGAAGACTGGCACATGGGGAGCTTGCATCTGCGGTACGCAGATATGTGACACTGATGTGACGAGACGTGGGGAGCTTACATCTGCATTATGGAGGGATGTGACACTGATGTGACGAGACGTGGGGGGCTTGCATCTGCAGTATGCAGGGATGTGACACTGATGTGACGAGAGGTGGGGAACTTACATCTGCAGTGTAGGGATGTGACACTGATGTGGCGAGACGTGGGGAGCTCGCATCTGCAGTATAGAGGGAGTGACACTGATGTGACGAGACGTAGGGAACTTACATCTGCAGTATGGAGGGATGTGACACTGATGTGACGAGACGTGGGGAGCTTACATCTGCAGTATAGAGGGAGTGACACTGATGTGACGAGATGTGGGGAGCTTACATCTGCAGTATGGAGGGATGTGACACTGATGTGACGAGACGTGGGGAACTTACATCTGCAGTATGGAGGGATGTGACACTGATGTGACGAGACGTGGGGAGCTTACATCTGCAGTATAGAGGGAGTGACACTGATGTGACGAGATGTGGGGAGCTTACATCTGCAGTATGGAGGGATGTGACACTGATGTGACGAGACGTGGGGAACTTATATCTGCAGTATGGAGGGATGTGACACTGATGTCACGAGACATGGGGAGCTTGCATCTGCAGTATGCAAGGATGTGACACTGATGTGACGAGACGCGGGGAGCTTGCATCTGCAGTATGGAGGGATGTGACACTGATGTGGCGAGACGTGGGGAGCTCGCATCTGCAGTATAGAGGGAGTGACACTGATGTGACGAGACGTAGGGAACTTACATCTGCAGTATGGAGGGATGTGACACTGATGTGACGAGACGTGGGGAGCTTACATCTGCAGTATAGAGGGAGTGACACTGATGTGACGAGATGTGGGGAGCTTACATCTGCAGTATGGAGGGATGTGACACTGATGTGACGAGACGTGGGGAACTTACATCTGCAGTATGGAGGGATGTGACACTGATGTGACGAGACGTGGGGAGCTTACATCTGCAGTATAGTGGGAGTGACACTGATGTGACGAGATGTGGGGAGCTTACATCTGCAGTATGGAGGGATGTGACACTGATGTGACGAGACGTGGGGAACTTATATCTGCAGTATGGAGGGATGTGACACTGATGTCACGAGACATGGGGAGCTTGCATCTGCAGTATGCAAGGATGTGACACTGATGTGACGAGACGCGGGGAGCTTGCATCTGCAGTATGGAGGGATGTGACACTGATGTGACGAGACGCGGGGAGCTTGCATCTGCAGTATGGAGGGATGTGACACTGATGTCACGAGACATGGGGAGCTTGCATCTGCAGTATGCAAGGATGTGGCACGGATGTGACGAGACGCGGGGAGCTTGCATCTGAAGTATGCAGGGATGTGGCACTGGCGTGACGAGCAAACAGTACACGTGGCCCGCCGCCATCACTAACAGGCCTGATTGCTGTAAGCGTGCGGATGTTCCCGATGGGCCATCAGGGCTCGATTTGGATTATTCAATCCTCTAGTTGAGCCCACACTAAGGAGGTGTTGGCCTTCAGTGTGAGAACTCAGATACCTCTTGGTCTAGGCTCGAGTGACTATGAGCACAGATTTGAAACGCGGATTTTGTTCATTGTAGCCAGTGCTTGTTTGATAATGTCTTTCGGATAGTACTCCATGGCGCATTGAAAGTCGATTATTGCCGGCACAAGAACGTTCAGCTTGTGTTGAAAAAAAAACAGTAGCTTAAGTTCTTACTTTTATGGAATACCGAAGCCAGCTCCTTTTAAATTGTCACGGATCCAATTATGGCCTTTGCACTCCGAATTGTCCGTAAAACTCTGAGCTCAGCTTTCAGGCTCAGCATACTACAGAGACGGCAGCCAGGGAATCTAGCGTCGGATGCGGCGGAATGCTAAAGTTTCCACCTGGCTTCACGCTTTCGTTAGTGTTCATCGCGCCAACATTCCCTGTATCATGCAGTAGGATGCGTGGAAGGCCGCGCCAAGGTCACCCAATGTATGGGAAGGTCGACATCTGCCATACCCGAGCGTATTGCGCCCGTGATGCAATGCATCTCTATCGGGGTGTTGCGAAATACCATGAGCACCAGGATGTGACCACTGCCGGGAAAAGAAAATCCAAATTCCAAAATCTCAGCGGAAGAAATTTCCATTCGGGGTTCGGGGCGAGGGCAGATCACTGCCCGACCATGCCCAGCTTACCGCCAAGGCAGCCGACGGGCGCCTCCTTTAAACGGGAGCAGTTCGATGGCGAAACGCGAATAGAGCTTTGGAGTGCATTATTTACTAGGTGGTTAGGGGGACTCTCCTGAATGACGTGTGTGTGGGGGAGGGGGAGGGGGCTCTGGCACGTGCGGCGGGGCCCGCACTTTGTGATGAGGGAGTCGAAGCAAAACACGGATAGAAAAGGACACTATGAATGATTAACTGCTTATTGCTCACTCTGCCACTGACCTCGGATAATTCGGTATGAACGGAGGAGAGGGGGAGATGGCGTAAGTTGAGTACAATTAAGTGCTATGTAATGTGGGCGATTGACAATAACCTGTCGCAACCAGGCACTCATAATGTGCCATAGGTCAGAGGATTTTTACTGAGAGTCCACGCTTGGTTTGGTGTACAGGATAGAGGAGATGGATCGCCAAGCAGCGTTGCTGAACAACGCTAATGTGAAATGAATATTGAGAGAGGCACTGAACGGCCGCCCCGCTGTTTACATTCCGTTCTGTGTTAGGTGTCGCATAGAAGCGTTCCGTGTTCGTGACGCCCACTCATAATGATAGCGTAGACGGCCATCGCTCTTGTTTAACGAACTATGAAAAGGGACCCAGGTCAACACTGGTAGGTGATCGGAATAAGTCATTGGGTGGGGATAATTGTACCAAAGTAAAAAGTAAGAGACAGCATGTGACACAGTGATTCTGAACTTCTGGCACATGTCATCCACAAGCGCGTCAAGGTGAAGGGAGAGACCGCCTGGAAAGATATATGCGATGTGAAAATCCTGAGGATAGATGCTTGGGGGTGTGGTAGATTGTATAGGCATGGAGGTGCATTGTTTATAAATGGGGGTAGATTGCATAGAGAAATGGGTAGATGAAATGTGAAATTAAGGGACCAATATGAGAGTTGTAACACAAACAAATACGCGGGTGCGTAACTCATCCAAGACATATTTGGCGCGTGGAGAGAAACTCGTTGGGTTGGCTGTCCGGCGTCGGGTTGGCTGTTCGGCGTCGGGTTGGCTGGTTGCGGTTCCGCGGTGGGTTTGCTGGTTGCGGTCCAACGTCAGGTTGGCTGTTCGGCATCGGGTTGGCTGGTTGCGGTCCCGTGGTGGCTTGGCTGGTTGCGGTCCGGCGTCAAGTTTAGCGACTGCGGTCCGGCGGCGGGCTGGTTGGTTGGGTCCGGCGGCGGGTCGGCTAGGGCTGCTCCGGCGCCGGGGGTGACGCGGCGGGCCTGTTGCAGGGGGAGGCTGGCGTGCCGAAGATGCTGTGGAAGCTGGGTCGGCTGAACCACATCGCCATCGCCACCCCCGACCTGAAGAAGTCGACAGCCCTCTACAGGTGAGCGCTGTCCTCGACCCACCCGACGGCGCGTCCCTTCAAAGTGGTGCGGCTTGGCTGTGCATGTCCGAGCTAGGCTTCCTCCCGGTTTTGTCGGGCTTTGCAAGCTGTTGCTGTCGTTTAACTTCCGTATTTTTACGAAGGAGTTTTGTGTGAATTCTTGCGCCTGACGAAACCGAACTGTAGTTCACCAGGCGTGCTCGTTTATGGACGGGGTCTAGCAACTATAAGGAAATGTTTTGCAGATTCTTGACGTTTTGAGGTAGTGGTCAGGTCACGAGTATAGAAGGTTGAACAGAACCTTAAGATTGGAAAACCAGACTGGCATGAAAGACAGAACATGTTAGAACATTCGAAGACTTGTTATTAACAGACACCGCGATTACTGATAACCCAAGCTCCCACTTCTTAACACTGGATACACGGCTCTTTAGGAAGGGCTGCTCGAAACAGACGGCTAGGTCGAGTGGTGTCGATGACCCGCCCAGAGCATAAGGCTAGAAAGTGGTTTGCGGCAGAACATCAGTATTCAGAACGAATATGGAACAAACATCACATTATCGCCGTCTTCGGACATGATTTCAGCGGTGTTTTTTTAGGTTAAGCATGTTTGGAAATAGTTGGCTAGTCGTTGATCCGAACGCTATCTTCCTTAAGGGAGATTTTCTCGGCACGGGTCATCGAACCCTTTCGGCTTAGCCGTCAGTTCGGGTAAACGTTAGCACGGACACGTGTATCCTGTGTTGAAGCCGGAATGACTGCACTGACGTTCGTGTTAAGTGTATATCTAGCATTGTAAAAGCCACGAGTCGTCGAGATCTTTCGGCCTAACCGCCTCCATTCCAAGAAGCCGTAGCATAGCAGTGTGTTGGGGGTTGGATGTGTTAGGGTGTTTGACCTTGAACGGTCATTGTAATGTCTTTAACGGCAGTCGGCTGAGCTTTAGAGCATTGGCTGTCTAGCTGCCTGTGCCCCAGGTTTTTCTGAATCTCGATCACGACCACTGCTTCGAAACGGCAGTCATTGTCATATCATTTCCTAATGGTTGGTGGATGTCGTTGACTGCTCATACCCATCGGTTGATGGAAGATCGGCTGTATTAAGAATACAAGCTCATCGTGCCAAAAAAACATTCGGCTAGTGCTCAATGGTTTTCAAATGCAGCTGTTTTGTTTAATGTTTTGTTCGCGACGTTTTGTCTTAGAGCACTGCTAATCAGAGATTGTTGCGGCTGGCATTCCCAACGAACAATTACGGTTACCTTGATCACATTATTATTTAATCATGGAAAGCTAGGGCCTGATCCGTCCCAGGACTGATGCGCTACTGATTGCCGGCGTGAGCCGCATCATTACAGACTGACTGTCTAATGAGCACCAGAGTCGGAGTTATGGAGGGGAGGGAGGAGACTGGACGGAGTCGGGTCACGGCAGTTCTCAGGCAATCTCTACAAACGTAACCACCGATGCACAAACATTTCACAACCCATAGTGGTATGCATGTAGCTTTTGATTGAGCTTGTGTTGTATGTCGACAACCTGTAACGGGCCCAGCTACGTGGATGTGTGCATAACCGTTGTGACCCTGTGACCCAGGGACGTGCTGGGGGCCGAGGTCAGCGAGCCGCAGGCCCTGCCCGAGCACGGCGTCCGCACCGTGTTTATCAACCTGGGCAACACCAAGCTGGAGCTGCTGCACCCGCTGGGCAACGACAGTCCCATCACGGTAACGGCCGCTCTTAACGGGCGCCCAGTGACACATAACAGTCGTTTCCATTAGGTGGGAAAGCGTCCTTATCAGCTTGCTTTCAGTCGTGGTAAATGTATCGCCCAAGGTTTTTCTGACCGTTTGCAACGTCGTGGTCCTCGTGTATGACCGTCAACAGTGTTTATGTCCAGCCGCTTGACTTGTGCACACGTGCCACTTTGTCGGTAGAACTTCCTGAAGAAGCACCCGTCGGGCGGCATGCACCACATCTGCATCGAGGTGGACAACATCGAGGAGGCGGTGGCCGACCTGCAGCGGCGCCAGGTGCGCTGCCTGACCGAGCGGCCGCGTACCGGCGCCCACGGCAAGCCCGTCGTCTTCCTCCACCCCAAGGACTGCGCCGGCGTGCTGGTGGAGCTGGAGGAGGCGTAGGGGGCGCTCCGTCCGCCCGGCCGAGCGGCTGGAGAGGGCCGGCGTGCCGCCCGATGGCCGGGCCGGGCTAAGCGGCGTGGCTGCCCGGTACAGTGTGTGAGGGGTCTGCCGTACGTACCAGAGTGCCGTCTCTTAGATGAATTTGTATGGCATGGTACTGTCAGGTGTCGGTGAGAATAAAGTGTGTGTACCTGACTTTGTTTGTGGGTAGGTGGCGGTCGTCGGTCTGCATTTTTTCGCGTGATTTATAGAAGTTAGGTACATGTCAATAGTGTTCACGTCAAGGTCGAAGAAGTCGCTTTGTCCTGGTGAGGAGACAAGGGAATGCCAAGTTTGGTTTCGTCTGCGAAGTAGCAGCTGGGCGGCGGTTACCCGGCGCGCGCTCAGTCTCTAGCAGACGGAATCGGCGAATGGGGAAGTTCTTTCAGCCAGTCACATTTGCTCAAGGGTGGGGGGGGGGGAGGGGAGATAAATCCATTCACGCTCATAAGTATTTATTCGCTTCTTGCATTGCACTGAAAACTGAGTGCGGCCATAAGGGAGCCGTCAGTTCGGCTAAACGGTTATTTTGGGGGTTGATCTAGCAAGCAATGCGTTTTTCAATTGTGTGCGATCTTGCAAATATTCGCGCCTTAGCGCTCAGATTGATAAGACTTGAGACTGCTGCCGATATTATTACCACATCAGAAGCGAAACATCGCCCTCTTGTGTCCTGAACGACCGCCTGATTTTGTCAATACAGCATGGTGCTCTACGAAATGGATATATGGATCACATTCGGATCAGCGCGTCAAGTTCTGTGTGATGAGTTGGGAGCCATTTTGACAATTGACGTTCAGTAGACATGGAAGCACTGGTTGAACGACGTTGTTACGCAGACGTTGTTGACGCAGACGACGTTGTTACGCAGACAACAGTCCATTGGTTGATTTATACATTGATTAACCAGTACCCCTGCATATTGTAGTTCAGCTCTTGTCAAAGCAAAACCTCCCAACTCATGGAAAGTCAGCAACTCAGGGTTTTCTTCCTCATATCTGTTATCTTCAGATACTATATATGTATATAATATTGCTTAAATCTGCTTATGACATGGATTTTCCCGTCTTTTGACCTTCCATTTAATCTTGAGGGATGACATTGAGCGGTTAGATACGAGGTGATTTGATCACAGACAGCGCCAAGTTGTCCCATGCCCCCAGTGTCAATGACCTCGTAACTCACGATAAGTCCACCGAGCACACTCTTCTCCGTAAAATGCCTGAGAGTTTGCCAAGTGACACGAGACCACCCTGCGGTATTGTCGTTGGAGCAGCGACACGAAGTGAGCAGAAGAGCAAACCCGCGTCAAAACAGCGCGTCAGAGTCGCTCGCAGAATGCGCTGTCGCCACAATCAGCCCTCTAACACGCAGCGGCGGGTCATCGCCACCGTGCCCAAAGACAACTTCGAACTGACATCAAGACTGGGCATCGAACGCAGCACCTCGTCGATTGTATAGTGCATACAGTAAAAGCACCTGCGGCACGGGGCTAGATTCAACGAGTGAAGCGGTGGAACGCAGCAACAAATGTGTGCTTACCTTGTAAAGGCAGGCTCACTACAGCGGAAATGCAGGAACTTAAAACATTAAATATACAGTTGAGCAGAATAATATCCGGGCTGGAGAGTCTGATTATGCAATAAAGTAAAAAAGTTTGCAAGGGAATCATCCCACACATTCTTTGTACAGTTCCGGTTCAGCCAAGCTTACAGAGCAGGTCCCAGCTCGGGGATCCGCTCTGTAAGCTTGGCTGGTAGATCCCAGCTCCGAATATTTAATTAAGGGCCCGATTTGAGGGCCCAAAGGGCCCAAAAAGACAGCCAGAGGTCTTATTTAGGGTCACCGGTCCGCGGGGTCAGGCACTCAAATGCTAGCCGGAGGGTCCTGCGCGCTGTTCAGGGGCGCGCTGGGTCGATAAAGGCCAATATTGCGGTCAGACGCCACCAGTGATGAACAGTCGGCTCAGTGGCGGCACAGGCCTAAGGGCCCATTTCCTAGCCGGCGACAAAGCTGGAACCAGCGATTTACATTGCTCGGAGCCCCACAGCCCCCAACAGGGAACCGGTGTTGTAAGGGGGCGCCGAGCCGGCCAGAGGCAGGATTCGAGGAGGCCCGAAGAGCCTGAAGGGCTCACCACGTCCGACAATCTAAGGTCCGATTAGAGGGTCTGAGGGCATGGCTGATCGAAGTGTTATTCAGGGGCCCAGACCTGTGAAAACGGACCCCCAAATGACGGTCAGAGGGCCCTTTGCGTCGATCGGGGACCCCTGAGTCGATTTGGACCTATATGTCGGTCAAGTATCACCGTACCACGTAATCGGCTCCGTGCCCGGTTGATTGTGGGCTGATTGTGGCGACGTATGGGTCTGAGTAGCCACTTCCCAATCAGCCATAAAGTCGGGGCCAGTGATTTACATTGATCGGGGGTCTTGTATCTGTTTGGGGTCCACAGCGCCTAACAGAGGCCCCTGTGCTCGGAAGGGCCCCGAGCCGATCAAGGGAAGTGTTTGATGAGGCCCGAAGAGGGCCCGGGCGGCTCACCGGACCCGATAGTCAATGCCCAGTTGGGAGCTATACCGGCCCGAAGGACTGGTTGTAGGTCACATAAAGAATCGCGGCCCTTGGGGTCGTGATCTGAAATATCAGTCAGAGGTCCTCTTGCGCCGTTATAGGAAACCCTGAGGCAATGCGGGTGTCAAGTCGGTCAAAGACCACGAGTACCGAACAGTCGGCTCCAAGTCCGTCTGAGCCCATTAAACCCATTGCCCAAGCAGAAACGAGGCCGGGGCCTGCGATTTGCTACGATCATAGTACCTGGCACAATGAGGGGCTCCTGTGTCGGTTAGGGGCCACAGTGCCGAACAGGGGTCCTTTGGCGGCAAGTGGCCCCGAGTCGGAACGGTGTTTGAGGGGCCCGAAGAGTCTCTCGACACCAAAGATCAAGGGTCCGATGGGATAGCTGAAAAGTCCGAATGGCTGCCTGTAGGTCACACTTATGACCCCCGCCCATAGGGCCCAAACCCAAAGGTCCGTAAGATGACCTCTTACACTGCTAGGGACCCTGAGTCAGCGCCGTCTTCTATCTCGGCCACAGATCACAAACAACGAACAGTCAGCTCCGTGTTGGTCTGGGCTGTGGGGACCCATTTCCCAAGCAGGGACAAGGCCAGGTCCGCGATTTACACCGGTCGGCTTCCTGTATCGTTCAGGAGCCCACAGTGCCCAGCAGAGCATTATGTGTCCACAACGGGCCTCGAATCAGTCAGGGGAAGATTTGTTCAACATCGGCGGGGACGGGAGCCCGAATGGCAGAGGATTTGGCGTTGGTCGGGCCCTCGAACAATTGAAGGAAACAGGGACATATGATGAGTGTTCACATTGAGGTAATAGAAGAGTCCCGTGCCAGTCAGAGCGCCCAGTACCGAACGGTGGGCCCTCCAGCCCTTTTTCGGCATGGGCACATTGAGCCCAACTGGAGTCTATGTGCCAATCCTTTGACCACGTGCGGTGAGCAGGGCTCTCATTACGTTAATGACGGTTCATGGGTCGATTCCGGGTTCACCTGTGCGGGTCAGAAGGCCTCCCGCGTCTAGGAGCGGACCAATGTGATGCAATAGATGCATCCCTCTAAAGGCCCCCGGATCGGCCAGGGATGCCACCGCGTGTCGCCAGAATGACGGCCGGAAACACACCGCGCTGGAACAGAGTGGCTCTTCAGCTCTTAACCGGGAATAACAACGTGCCCCGTGATGTTGTATTCAAGAGGCTGCTGTACTACAAAGAAATAAAGGGCATCATTAGCGCTGAATGGAGTGGGTCCAAATGAGTTCAAAACGATTCCATGTTTTACTGAGAACGTTCACTATTTTGCAGAGTCGGCCAGTGGAACAAAGGCCATCAAAATGTTCGAGCCTGCGCGTCGGGTGACGATAGTGTAGAAGTTTACGCGCCTGCGTTAGCCACTGCGCGTCTGGGAAACCACAGGTATGTGGTTCGATTCCCCGCGTTATCCACCCTTCCCGCCAGGGTGGCAGGCTGACGACGCCACATATAGCCGCAGCAGCTGAGTGCGTCGTAAAGCTTCAATGACACGGCCGTAATCTCGGGGAGCAATGATAGCGATGGCTTGGGACGCAGCTTTCGTAAAATTGAACGGCGTTGGCCCCTGCAAGTAACGCCAGGGGGCGGGCGCCGAGTGCGCAACAATGACCATCGTAAAATAATTATTTTAATGTCTTTCAAAATTGATTCGTATGGGCCAAAGATTACACCGAGCGAATATTTCTTACAAGTTTGGTGATTTTCGTTGGACAGACTTACGGTTACAGCAACACGACAAATATAAATTTTACCTTTTACTCTTCCAGTTCCACAGCCAGATTCCAGCAGCACTTCGCGGCGCTGTAGACCAATACGTTATTGCTATCAATCTAAAAACCGCACGGATGATATATGTGCCCGGAATGTCTCTAAATGTACGATTTGGTGTCCAACATCGTTCAAAGGCATTTCTGTCAGATGCGTCACCTTTTTCGTCCACCTGTTGGTCACGGTCTAGTGTGAACCACGAGACCGATGCCGCGTGGCCTAGGGAAGCTGCAACGCCTGGGGTCGAGTTTTTGTTTCGGAGACACGCGAGTGCGCCTGCTCAAAACTACGCTGCGTAATTTGTGCCACTTATCAATGTTGACAGAATGTTAAAGATATCCAGACAAAGGTGGCCTGGCCATGGTAATACAATTTGTCAACCCATTTTGATATTCAATCTTCATTCGCGGAATCTTTGCTATTTCTGGACAACCTAGACCAAAATTCTGACAACGTTTCTGACTTCTATCCGCCTGAAAAGAGTCCACTGAAACATTGTGAAATAAATCGAGCTGGCGATTTATTTCATGCATTCGTTTAACGTGTGATTTTGTCAGTTTGTTTACTATAAGCTTAGGACAGAATTGATCTCATAGTGGCGTCTGGCCTATATTCCAGTTATAGAAGGTGAAAGTACATTATATATATATATATATATATATATATATATATATATATATATATATACATATATACATAAAAAACACGGCCTTAGCAACAAACGGGCCGCAGCCGGCGATTTCTTTGGAGGGACCTTTCACTGTCAGGGGGCAGTTTGTCAACCCTGTGCCCCCTTGCCAAAGCTTTAGCTGCTCCCCTACACACAGCCAAACCAAGAAAGGGATGTGGGTCCCAGCCTACCTATAAGGCACATTTGGTTTTCGTTTTTCAC